TTAAAAAAAAAAAAAAGTAAGCCTGCTTTAGAGGGGAAAAAATCAACATCTGTCAAATCCGAACCGTTAAAGCAATCTAACGGCCATACATGATTTCATAATCTGATTTTATTTTTGTTCAATAAGAAACGAAATTTATTCCCTTTCCTCAAAAGAAAAAAAAAAGGAAATTAATTTCAGAATTCCTAGAAAATCACAAGGCACGCGAAGGGATGAAGATGGAGGAAGGTGTTAGAAAAAAAACAAAAGCTGAGGAAAATGGGGCCCGCTCAAAATCTGCCAGCTGTCAACCGTCTAATTAACGCGCTCGCTCTACGCAGTTTTTCCAAAAGTCAAAGATTTGACCAGCTCTCCACCGTACGATCTCTGATCAAGTCATCCCCGACTTTCGGCGTCCACTTGCTCGACTACACAAGAAATGGCAACGCGCTCCCTCCGAGAAGCACGTGGCGGAATCTTATTTGTGGAATCTATAAGCAACGGCTAGCGTCACCTACATGGTATTTGCGGATTGGATTCCGGCATCTCAGGCCACGGGAGTGCTCTTTACCAAAACCACTACKTTATAATCTTTAATTAATTATTATACTTTTAAACTTTAAGTCTCATTTTCTATTTTCCAACTCTCTAGTTTAGTTTCATCCAATTTCACCTTGAATCACTCGTTTGTATAATTGYTGAATTTTATTTACACTTCTTGCAATCATAACAATTCTCGAGTTATATGTTATACTTTGAATCTTACACAATCGACACATTACATGTCGCTCTACGTTCTCCAACAAATAATATCAGGTTGAGTTATTTTCCTATCTCGTCAAATATGGCATAGAAATTATTGAGCTGAATATTCTTCGGGTGAAATCTATTTTATTAAGATTGGGAAATTATATGGTTTTTATAAAATCATGTGCTATAATATCGTTAATTTTGTTTATATATACCAATTATCACTGAGTTATGCTCGTTTTGACAAGAACAATTAACGATTGAACCATTAGTTTGTTTTATTTTGATATCTAAACCTTCAATAGTCTCTATTTTGTATTTTTCTATTTTGATCTCTGAATATTCAGAATGTTTATTTTTTACACTGTACTTTAAAAAATAATCATATTTTGGTTCTCGCTACTATTGAAAGTATCCGTATAAATGTATAAATATTCTCACAGAACATGTGGCACAACTTCATAAATTAGCTAATCAAGTTGAGAATTGAAGGTTCCAATTTCTTTGAAGGGTACATGAACTAAAATAAATAAAAGTTAAAAAGCCCATGTAATAAATCTAAAATTTGAAGGGCAAAAGTAAGATTTACATAAATTTCAAATAAAAAATTATTTAAAAAGAGGTTTGGAGCACAAGGTTGCAAACTTCTCCGTCCAATTATTAAAATATTAAAATAATGAAAGAAAACAAGACTGCCACGTCATTATGCCACGAAATAACAATTGGTTCTCCAATTTTACACTTTATTTATTAGGGTTTTTTTTTTTACAAGCCAATTTACACTTAATATGCTTTGAATCTTTATCCCCAAWTAATATCAAAAGATCGTGCCTCTTTTCCATCTTTTTTATTACTGATAATATAGGATAATTGTCCGCTTTGGTATGATTCTGGTGACTTTGTACCAAATGACCTCGTATAACCAGTGGAGCTATTGTCTCTCACGTATATATCTACGATATATTTCTATAATGAATGTTAGACTTTGTTTGAACTCTTTACAAATCCATCTTTACAAATCCAATAAAAATAAAAATAATAAAATTTCCACTCATAGACTCATGCAATAAGGACCACCGAGGTAAAAATAAAATAAAGTTAATCTATTTGACCTTATTAAGATAAATATATATAAATGAATTTCTTTACCTCTCCATGAGGAAAATCGTGGTTATTTTAGTCAAAAAAAAAATTTAATGATTATTGATTTTAAAGTAGAGCCCACCACTAAATATTAACAAAAGAGAAAAGAAAAAAAAATTCGATTTTGATAGAAATAAATAGTTTGAATAGACGATTATGAATAATAGAAAAGAAAAAAAAAATCTGGGATAGTTTCCCTTGGATAATTACTTTATTATTCATTAATGAACAAATACTCTATCAAGAGAGAGGCAACCATAAATTGCTACTAGTTAAGTTTTTTTGTTTAAAAAAAAAAAGAAAAGAAAAGAAAAGAAAAGAAAAGAATTATTAAATGAGTGAAATTTCAAAATGATAGAGATTAAATAATTTTTTTTTTAAATAATACCATTTAGAAACCATCATTTTCTAAATGAAAACTATTTATGGGACCAACAAAAAGAACGAATACTACAGTTTTCATTGTTATAGATTGAATTTTTTTTTTAGTTTTTTATAAAATAATAATTTCAATCTCTAACACTAGATCCTTCAATATATATTGGTATTTGGTTTATATATGGRAAAAAAATTAAGATCCCGCTTAATATATGAGCTAGATCTACTACTCTAATAACTTTASGATGGAGCGTATTAAATCATAATAATTACATATTTTGAACATTGGATTGGCAAAAAAAAATCTTAATGCGCCAATCGATGGTAGAAAATTTAAATGCTCAAGGATTAATAATGTCATAGAATTTTAAAACTCGATAATTAAAGATATTTATGTTTGGTTAATAAATAAATCTTTAAAAAATGCATGAGAACATAGTAAAATTGTGGATTATCATTATTTAATCATTTAATCTTAATTGCTAACAAATATAAATTTTAATTTTTATGGTATTATTTGAGGGTAGATAAGAAGTTAATACCACTAAWTTTTGGAGTCAATTAGCTAGTAATGTTCTTGTTTTTATTTATTATTTTTCATTTTATTTCTTTTTTTTTTAAGAAAAATAACAAACCAAATGAATCTTAGACAACTTTTCATTTTTTAATTTCTTGTTCTATTAAAAAATAAAAATAAAAGATTCAAAACTACTATGTTGTTTTAATTTATATTTTATATTTATTATGCAATTTATAAGTAAAAAAAGAAGGATAAAATATTACTTTTATTAATATTCTGAAAAATTAGAAACTATAAAAAACGTAAAACCAATTTTCCTCTCAAATTACAAAACATACAATTTTCGAAACATTTTCCAAAAAATAAAACATTACCAAATACACCTCTTAAAGATTATAAACAAAAATCAGAGTATGAAGCATTGAAACGTTAAAATTTTTAAAATTTTGAAAGATTAATATTAATCATTATTTTTCACATCAACATTAGAATTTCCTCCAATTTGTCACCTAATAAAAGTGAGAGGTTTTTTTTTTTTTAATTTTAAGAAAACCCCTTTTAGATGCATGATTTAACCTGAAATTTACATCAATAATCACATTCTTTTACCAATGTTTGGCAGGGACAAATCCATTACAATGTGGAATTACACATTTTTGTATGTCATAATTGGCTTCTCAATCAATTATGAACCCCAATGGATGGCCATGAAAGCCATTCATGACTTCAATGCTCTTACAAAAAAAAAAGAAAAAAAGAGTCTTTTATGTTTTATTGCACGGTTGTAATATTTTGATTCTTATACTTTAATAATTTAATCTAAAATCTGTAACAAATAGATATTTTGTACTATATATTACATCATATTAATTGAGMATGTAGTTGGACGAAATTTGAGTTTGAATTATTTGRGATGTGCGTTTCATTCATTTACTCAATTTCCATACATAGATTGTCTTTTGGTGAAATTTTTAGCGAGACTTTTAAGACGAGTTTGAAACCAMTTTTGGACGAGTATTTAATAGTATTTGATTTGATAAGCCAAGGTAATTTTTTAATTTTTTAAAACACTCCAAAGATTAGTATGTTTTTCAAAACTACTTTCACTAAAAAAAATAAATTTGGAAGTTGTTGCAAAGTTCCARCCTCCTGATAATTGAACGAGCATACCTATGAGAGAGCAAAAACATCGTTTGATAGAGTGAGGGCAACCATAGAGTGAGGGCAACCTAAACGGTCAAGATATGCATAAAAAGATTTACACAATGATAAYAGACACTTTGTCGTTCAAGTAAATACAAATATAAAGTATCACTCTCGAAATGARCTAATTAAAATTGCACGCCAGCATATGAGTCTGCCTCCTGTATTTATAGTCGTTCAAGGATGACACCCACTCAAATATTCTTTAACCGACTCATAAATTAAATAGCCCGAAGCTTCATATTTCACATTATAGTCCCCTCTTTTTATTGTTCCCCGCGTCACGTTCTCRTGACATAACTAAATTATAAGAGTCAAAACATACGAAAAAGAAATATGTTTTAGAAAAATAAAACCCAAGAAAAGAGAGAAAAGATTCCAAAAAAAAAAAAATCGAAAAAAAGTTTCCTCCAAAATTCGTTACCAACCATACCCCACCCAAAAAAGCACCACCTTCCCTCTCCAATTAATCTGATAGGAGCGCCCCGGTTTTCACTACGTCCACTCACTCCCATTTCCGCTGTAATTTCATAATTTATAAATATATATTTTTTAAAATAATGACTTTTTGTCTGTACGATCACGAGCCCGGCTTGTAGCGTGTGGACCCGCACGCTTATCAAAATCAGCCTCTTTTTTTTCCATCATTTAACAAATTGGGTTTGGGCCTTTGACATTGTCCAAAGTCAACCCCCAAAAAAATCATATCAAGAAATAATTTAATGGGTTTTTTGAAAAACCCAATTCTTTTTTTATTCAGAGAAAAAAAAAGAAAAATTGGCATAGAGATGCCCTCCTCCACCCCACCTGTCTTTTTCTTTCTCTCTCTTTCTTTAAAAAAAAAAGAAAAAAGAAAAAAAGGCATTAGCTTAGCTTAGCCCACAACTTTCTCTCCCTAGCGTTTAGACTTGTGAACACTGCACAAACTCAGTTATTTATTTATTTATTTATTATTTTGGTCTATCTCTGATTTTGGTTATATATATATATAATTCTTTTCCTACTCATTACTCATTACACCCTTATCACCAAAAGTCAGCGCCTTGTTTTGTCTCTCTCTTTTTTTTCTTTTTTCTTGAGTGCAGAGAAACTGATCAAAGAGGAGGCAGAGACAAAGGTACAGATTCTCAGAGCAGAGTTTGTCCGAGAAATGGAAGACGATTGGGATCTCCACGCCGTCGTCAGAGGCTGCTCCGCCACGCCCTCCGCCGTCTCTGACTTTTACTCTGTTTCTTCCAATTCCAATTCCATCCCTTTTACTTTTGGTAGAGACCAAACCAACGACCACTTTTTCTCCCTTCAAGATCCATTTGAGGGACCCAATTCCGGCGAGGAATTGCATGAGCTTTTCAAGCCCTTCTTCCCCAAATCTCAGCCCCCTCCGCCGCCGCTCCTCCCTTCTCCGGCCGCCGCTCTCTCCTCTCTTTCCGGCCCCAAACAGAAACAACTCCACACCCATCTCCCTAAACACCTCCATTCATCCTCCGTCGCCGCCCCAAGATCTAAAAGACGGTGAGCCAAGCCGAAATTTTGACTATTTTTTGTAATTTTTTTGGGTAATTTCTTGAAGCTAATAGATCTGGTTTTGATTTCTTTGCTTTCTCTGTTTCAGGAAGAATCAGCTGAAGAAAGTTTGTCAAGTTCCGGCGGAGTCTCTGTCGTCGGACATATGGGCTTGGCGGAAATATGGGCAGAAACCCATCAAGGGATCTCCATATCCCAGGTTTGAATTTCTTTTTTTTTTAGGTTTATTTTGAAACCCAATTAAAAAAAAATTGTTGGGTTTTTTGTTTGGGGGTTTGATTTTGGGTTTAATATGGTTGATTTTGAAACAGGGGATACTACAGATGTAGCAGTTCAAAGGGTTGCATGGCCCGGAAACAAGTGGAGAGGAACAGATCCGACCCGGGAATGTTCATCGTCACCTACACGGCGGAGCACAACCACCCGGCGCCGACGC